CGCCGCTCCCGCCGCCGGGCTGCGGGCACCCGCCGGCGGCGGCGGCTCCTTTCCGTTCCTTCTGGCGCAGGTGGATCTTGGTGTGCCGCTTCCTCTCGTCGGAGCGGGCGAACTTCCTGCCGCAGAAGTCGCAGGCGAAGGGCTTCTCGCCGGTGTGCGTGCGAATGTGGGTGGTGAGGTGGTCGCTGCGGCTGAAGTTCCGCATGCAGATACGGCACTGGAAGGGCTTGTGGCCCGTGTGGATGCGGATGTGCCGGGTGAGCTCGTCGGAGCGGGAGAAGCGGCGGTCGCAGCCCTCGGCGGGGCACGGGTAGGGCCGCTCGTGGACCGGCGTCTTGCTGGGCCGATTGGGGTACTTGCGGGGCCGCAAGATGGGCCGCAGGGGCAGGTGATGCGGGCTGTAGGCGCCGGCGGGCAGCCGGGCGCCCGCACCCTCGCCCCCGCCGCTGCCGGGAGCGCTGCCGGGCGCGGCGCCCGCCGGGGGCGCCCCCATCGTGAAGTTGCGGATGGTGGAAAGCGGCGTGAGGGGCGGCGGAACGCGGAGCGAGTCGAGGGGGCAGGGGAAGGGCTTGCGGTCGGGGCCGGCGTGCAGCTCCCGCTGGCACTGAGGCGGCGGGAAGAAGCCGCCGTACTCGGGGATCATGGTGAAGAGCCCGCCGTCGGCCGCCGCCGCCTTCGGTGAAGGGTAGGAGGGCGGCGGGGGAAAAGGCAGTGCCCCGCCGCCGGCGGCGGGCAAAAAAGCCGAGGAGGGATCTTGCGGGTACAGGTCACCGCAGCCCGAGTAGGGCGGCGGCGGAGGCGAGTAGAGATGCTCCAGGTCGGCTGGTTGGCCCTGTGCCATGGTGCAGCCGAGGGCCCCGGCCAGCGGGTTGGGGGAGGTGGCGGAGGCGGCGGTGGCCGAGGAGGCGGCGGAGGAGGCGGAGGAGGCGTTGGAGGAGGCGGCGGAGGAGGGCGTGCTGACCCCCTGCAGGATCCCCGCGCTCACGATGTTGATGATGCCCTCGGGGTAGCAACCGGCACCGGGGTACTGCGGGTCGATGGAGAATTTGCCCATGTAGGTGAAGGTCTGGTTGCGGGAAGCCGGAGCGTTGGGCGCGAAGCCGCCACCGTAGGGCAGGTCCAGGGCCCGCTTGTCGCCCATGTCCACGTTGATCATGCCGTCTGGGGGGGCAAGGAGCAGGTCAGCCCTCCGCGCCGCCACCCTCCGGGCGACCGGCACCGGTCCCAGCCACCGCCCGCCCCGGCCCAGCGCGGGGCTGCGGCGCGCACATGTTGCGCTCCGGCTGAATGAGGGCTCCGCGCCGACTGCAACTTTCACCCCCGAGCTGGGTGCGGAGGCAGGGCTGCCGTGAGGTGCGGCGGGGGAGCCCCGAAAAGGTCCCGGCGCCCAGTCCCAGTCCGACCCCCGCCCGCCGCCCCGCGTCTCCGCCGCCCCGCCGCTCTCCGAGGGCGRCCCGGCCCGCACCTGCGAGGGCTCCGCTTACCTCCTGCCACACCGCTCATCTGGTCAAACGGCCCTGCCAGGTCGGCATTGGGGAAGATCGCGACCGAAGTTGGCAGCGCGGCAGAGATGTCATCCGCGGGGTAAATACCCTCGGGGAGCTGGTGCACGAACCCACCGAGGGTCACCGGGATCTTGTCCACCGCCTTGGCGGTCATCATGGGGGCAGCGGGGCGGCCGGGGGAGCGGCGCTCCCGGCCGGCGGTGGGCGCTCGGGGCGGGGAGGGGAGGGAGAGGAGGGGGCGCTTCCCCCTGCCTCCCACTACCGGCGCGGGGGGACCGCGGGGAGCCGGCGCGGCATGTGCGGGCGGGCGGCCGCCCCGTCGCGGCGGTACGGTGCCCGCGGTGCCCCGGGAGCGCCGCGCTCCCGCCGCAGCTCGCGCTGGAGGAYAAGTCTGGCGGTAACTATTTATGGGGGCCCCCTGAATGCCCGGGACGTCACTGCCCATATAAGGACTGAGGAACGGGGCCCGGCGGTCACGTGGGCGCCCGCGTGCGGGATCCGCCGGCCCGCGCCCGCCCCGACCCCCCCTCTCCGCACACCCTCCGCGCCCCGCGGGGGCGGCCCGACCCGCCCCGGCCCCGCTCGGCCCCCGCCGCCGCCCGCCGCGCCGCCCAGGGGGGTATTCCGGTGGCGGGGCCCTTGTCCTAAAAAGGCGAGGATCCGGCCCCGCCCCGCCTGCCCTTTTAGGGCTCGTTCCGGAAAATTTTAAAAACGCTCGGAAAAGCAGAGGAGGTCCCGGGGCCGCCCCGCCAGACCTCACTCACTTTCTCAGCAGCCCGTAACCGCAAACCGGCGGCGGGTCAGAAAACAGCCGCATTCACGGAATACAGCTTCTCCCTTCTTTAAGAAAAATAATTTTWAAAAATAWTTTWTTTTTTTTTTCGGAATTACGGGTGGAAAGAGCCGCCGAACAGAACGACTTGGCGGCGCTGCTTTTTTTTGGAAAGTGTCTGATCTATATATACCGTCGCGAAAACGGAACCGCCTGCTCCGCCGTCGCTGGGTTGTTATTGTATCGACGGGCACATCCCCGAGGACGGGACGGGGAGGGGTGGCGGGGGGACAGGAGTGCCCTCCCGCGCCGCCTCCGTCGGTCCATTCTGACCCCACCGCTCCCACTTTGTTCAGTTCAACCTCTTGCTTCCACAGCTTCCATCCTCAGTARCATTTCCACTCCCGTTTTTGCTTTATTTTGCTATGATCTCCTCGAAGAGGGTATCAAACCAAAGTGCTTAAATTCTGGCTTTTTTTTTTTTTTTTTTCTCCAAACTAAAAATAACCTCCCTTGTGCCTCCCTTCCCAGGAGAAGTCAATCTTTCATACGCTGTTCCCAATCTTAGAGCTTGCAGCCCCTACATCTTCTTGCTGATGAGGGTGTCAGATGTAATTATTTTTGAAAGCTGTATCCCATGTCACTAATCTCATTACTTGGGGATATTTCATCTCGTGGCTGTTTATTACTGCATTTAGGAAAGCAACTCTCACATATGGTCTGTAGCATGCGAGGCCCCATTTCRACAGTCTGCAGTAAAAAAACAACCCATTGACAACCCAGGCAGCAAGACATGGCAACATATGAGAGATACTACAACAGTGCATTCCTGTTCCAAAGCAGCAGGCYAGAGAATACATAGGAAGGCTAAAAACTCTTTGCTTTCAATTTTAACTGCAGATACCAATATTTACAGGTCTAGTACATTGCAGCCGGTGCCACAGAGGAGGAGCATGCTTGGGCATCCCTATGGAGGATGCACTTACCTCTGCCTTGGCTCCCAGGCACTGTCACAGTGGCTCCCAGGGCCCTCTTTATCCATGCCACATGTCACACCACAGCTGAGAAAGGCTCTTTCAGTTCCTCCAGTTCACTGCCTTTGGTGATGCTCTAGGTTCACTCGCAGTCCAGGCACCACAGGGTCCAGACTAGACAGTGGTGTCCCTAGAAAAGTAAAAGTTTTAGGGGCATTTGCTAAGGAATGGTAGGCATAAACCTAGATATTTGCCTTGATGGGTGATCGGGSAAGTGTGCACAGTAATTAGGAAATATGTAACAGTGTTTTTTAACATAGATTTTTGTTACCAGTCCTTTCTAGCACTTAATGTACAGCCAATACAGCTTGACATATGAGATTTAGTTGAAAGCAAGCTTTCAGTGGGATTCTAGATATTTTCGTTTAAAAAACCCATCTCAATTTAAAAGTTAAATTGTGACAGAGAGACAGGTTCTGGGAAATTTGACTGATAAGTAGGAGCAATTGTGTTGTACCTTTCCGTTTCAGCTGAGCTAAATTGGTCTAATCGTTACTATGAAAGAACAAAATATTGGAATCTGTTGTGGAGTGGGGTGAGTTACTTTACATGAATTTGAGAAACAGTAACTAACTGCAGTRTCCTCCTTACTGCAAAACGCTGCAGATGTACCAGTTTTAGGGCTTTCGGATATATTTTGCACCATCTTCTTGTGTTGATTCAAAATACCACATGCACAGTGATGACACTAAATCACAATGCACACAGGAGAAGGGAGTACCAAGGTTTCACACCCCATCTTAATCTTCCATGAATCAACTCTACCTTTGAACTAACTTGGYTAATTTAATGTTCTTCCACTATGGAAAAGGATTCAATGAAAKACCAACACAAATAAAATTTATGTACTTCCTGGCTAACTTCACCTGTGGAATACTACTATAGTTGACTTGGCAGATTAATTTTAAAAGCCTTCTTAAGAATGGAGTAAATTATGCCTGATTTCCAGTCTTTCCATGGACAATCAAAGCACCTGACATCTTTCAATGGGGGCTTTGTCTGAATGGCAGTAGGATCTGGTGTGGGGCAAGATRGAAACCTACTTAATGCTCAGTTTCAGGAAGTTGTTGACAGATAAAAGTCAAATGTTTCTGGGCCCTTTTCAGATATTCTTGCTGGATTGCTTTGCATGTGCCTTTTTGCCTTTGATCCACGTTTGGCTGATTACAGCAGAGTCCAAGGGCTGGACTGTCCAGCTTGGGCTAACACCAATGGCCCTTGCATGCAGATTTCTGTGGTTCCTATAAACCACATTGTTTCATATGACAGACAGATTGTTGGTTCAAATTGCCAAATTCCCATTTACACCAAGAGCCTCGAATATGTTTGACATGTCTTACGGGATATAGCAGTGATTGAGGAGGGTTCAGAGCTGAAAGGCAGAACTTCTCTCCCATTCCCAATTTCTTTGAAACCATACYCCTTTGAATTTACTGTATTTGCTCTTTTAACAAGTTGCTAGCTGACATTGCACTGGGGGTATATTTTCCTGCAGTCATTCTCTACCACCAGTACCTGAGACAGGAACTGTAGAAATAAAATCGTTCCTTGGCTCCATACCTGAGTTGAGAGTGGCTGAGGAAGAAAAGGCAGCTTATCATCCCTAGAGCTGGCAACACATTTAACCAGCTTAGCATCACACATTTGAGTCATCTCTCCAGGGGGTTACTATGCTTTTGCAGCAAAACTCGCCCGACCTCGTGTGCTAACAGCAGCGATGTTAGTAGGCCTGTTTGGGAAACACACACTGCTGCTTCCACTGCATCCCGCTGCTTTTGGGAGGGTTAAGGTGGCCCCAGCTCAGCAGGTGACCTAGGGAATAAGGAACTCATCTGGGAACAGGGAATTGTTTACAGATTGGAGATGAACAATCCTGACAACAGCAAAGAATGTCTGTCCTAAGTCTGGGCCAGATTCTTTTTGAGGTTAGAGGGTTTTTAATGTTTCATGTAAAGGAGAAAATCTTCTCCCCCAAGCTGGATTTCAGAGTTTCCTAAATTTGCCCCTTTTCACTGTGGTTCGAAAGATTTGTCATGTCCTYGCAGGAAGAAATGCTTGTTTACTAATACCTTCTGTTTTGGCCAGGGGTGTCTGCTGGATTCCCAGGCTGCGGGCAAAAGCCACATCCCTTCAGTCTGTCCTGCCTGCCCCTCACAGGCCAGATACAGGCTCTCAAAACCTGGAATCCAGCCAGGGGAACCTGCTGTAAACATGAACTTACAGAAAACAGYTGGCTGACTGCTGGCATGCATGGGGAAGGGGATGGTTAAGGAGCAGAGAAGGCATCCCAGTCTGCTCTTAATTACAGTACCTTGAAACACTCTGTGGTTTTCAGCCCAGGCTGCTTGTTGTCTTAGGRTGAATGCCTGTAAATTTGAAATAAGTAAATTACTTTATTGTGAGGACTTGGCTTAGGATAGCCATAGCAGCATTCTGAAGGGCTATTTAAATGCCTATAACTTTTCCTAATTCGGGCTATAGGAATTAAATAAACCCATGCGGAATGAGCAAACTACTACTTTAAGTCTGTGTGGCTGTGAACAAGTATGTGTGACAGAGAAAACTTCCAGTCAAATAAAAGCAACAASAAACTTGTTTTCTCGAACCTTATTTTCATTATTAAACACGTAGAACATTTCCTGGMTGTTCCCGTACACCGTTTCTAGCATATGTATTAAATCGGTAGTCCTACTTCACTCACCTCMTGAGTTCCCCGCGGAACACCCGAGGGAGCGGATGCTCCGCCGCCGCTGGGAGGRGAGCGGGGAGCGGGGAGCGTGTGCGGGCACCACTGCCCTCTCCTGGGGGAAGATGCTCCCGGGAGCCAGCGAGGACACAGCAGCTGAGCAAAGAGCGATGCGTTGAGCTGAGTTCTGCTGGTGTTTCACCGTATAACAGCACCCCTAAAGGTTTTCATCACAGTCGTGCTACCTATAGAGAGATGACAGCCCGGTTGAATCAGAGATCTCGGCCACGTCTGTTATCCCCTCAATCCCAACTGTGTCGKACACCTACTGCAGTGAAGTGTTGAGAACAAGCCACAGAGGGGCATCCCTGCTGAAAGGCTAAAATATCAGCTCTGCATGGAGCTTTCTGGGGGAACAAAGAAAATTWAAAAAAAAAAATTTAAAAAAAMCCCAAACTAAAACGTTGCTTCTCAACTGTGAAAATTACTGGGATACATATCATCCATGAGGCAACAATCTCAAAATAATTTGTTTTTGAATAGTGATAGTCTGCCTGCAAAGCTTTACTTTCCAGTCCTGTTTTCTGAAACTAGTTTCACTTACCCTTGTATTTCCTGCTCTAATGTGTCTCCTGTGATTTGTGTAAATACTGCCTTGTCCCATGGCTGGGCCTTTAGTCCAGAGAGAAACTAATCAAGCACATCCCTTAATGATGCAAGTGGCTTCTTCCTTGAAGAACTGAAATAAAAGAAGCATAGGAAGAGTCACATTTTCGGTTCTATTGGTTCCATTACCTATTGTTTTAGTGCTTAGTAAGCCTGTCAGAAGAGTTTCTGGACATATTTAGTTTATAGGAAGCAGTGCCTTCAGAACTGGGCATAGCTTTTCATCCTCAGCTGAGGAGTAAAGAAAGGTATGACATCTCTTTCCAGCAAACCAGGAGGTAAAGCAAACCTCTAGCACCCTTTTCCAAGAAGTCTTCTCCTGAAAAGAGATGGAGAAGAGCTCTGTGGGATGTTTCCCAGGAAAACGTTCCATCCCTCCAGGGAAGCTGGAGCCACTCACAGGATTTCTAGATTGCCAAGCACTCATTTGCATTTGCCCTGTTATGTGCCACTTCTAAGAAACCTGTTTCCATTTATATCTCATTTCTTTGTGTTTTGGGCTTAAACCAGTCTAACTTCAGCCTACCCTCAGCTCTGGGTAAGTCAGGCTGGGTTTGGACTTTTCCTTAGTTTTTCTCAGCATTTATTTTCTGCCCCTGAGGGTATGCCTAATGCTCCAGTTTCACCAGAAGACCATCCTGACTGCGAATTCTTCAGAACAAGAGGGTGCATATTTATTTTCAGCAAAGTTACCCAATGGATGGCTTTCTGTCAGGAACTGACTGCAAATTTTATTGGAGCAGAGAATTAAAACAAACAAACAACCCCTTCCCAAGAGATTAAAATAAGCAACATGTTTTGCTTTAAAATTTCTAGGGCCAGATTTTTAAGTGGTGTAAGTTGGCATAAGTTTTCTGATTGTGTAACCCCTACCATCTGAGTGAACAAAAAAATTGGATGTGATTTTATTTACAGTTACATTACTTTTCAAGGCTAAAACTCCAGGTTCTCCTGAGGGTGGGCATGGTCCTTTTCATCCTATATTTGGGCTGCCTCCACCTGTTTTACCAGAGTTTGTTACTATCTTTGATTTGTTTTCTGTGCTGTGATGTATTATCCTTGTTACTTGACCTCCCTTCTCATTCATGTCTCTCTCTACTCTCTGTTGTCCAACCTTTTCAGCTCTTTTCCTTCTTCCCCCTCCTCTCTTTCCTCTTCCTTGGTAGTTCCTTTTCCTTCCYCCCTATCTCAGCAATTGCTGCCAACAGCTATATTTGGAATAGAGTGGGAACAAGCTATTCTTGTGACTTTACTTTGAAATAACTGAGAGGAGCAGATGATTTTCTTTGAACAAATAGAGAAGACATGCTAGTAAAGTCAAAACAACATCATTAGGAAATACCTGCCCAGCAGGTTCATTTTTCCTGACTCTCCGGATAACTTAATCAGCTGGTAGTAGTGGTTTGCTCTGTTTTAGCTTTAAATCCTCCTTTTGTGCATAGTTCCCTTCTCCAGGTTAGTAACCCGAGGTGCTAACAGAGGCCTAGCTCATCACCACAATGTCTGGGCACTCATACATCAAGGGGAATGACTGCCACCTAAAATCTCAGATGCCAAAATTAGACGAACCAGGATATATATTTGTTTAACACCTGAACTCAATGCTGTTGCATCTCCTGGTGTAATCACAGGATACTTTATAGAGTCCCACTCATATGAACTAGCCAGAAATATGCTGGGAGGAACCATTTCCTATCAAGCAATATGATTTCTCTATGTCTTCTCACATTAACTTCTTCTCATCAGCAACTTTCCTCATTTCCCCTGCCATTTAAAGTACTGTGAGCGACACCTTAACAAAGCCAGTGAGAAACAGAGCTACCCAAACAGGGCAGCACAGAATGTATTTCTCCTTATCTCCCATATTTCTATGTTTATACAATTAACTCCCACACTGGCAAATCAAACGAGAAATTAGGCCAAATAAGAAATTCAGCATCATGGCTTAGTATTCTGTGCCTGTGCCATAGGAAGACCAGAGTCTATTTGTCTACTCCCAAGTGAAGCTGGTCCTATTAAAACTCTATTGCTGTAACATGTTTGTGTGTGAAACAGCTTCATGCAGGGGAAAATACATGAAATAACATGCAGAAAAGTGTAAAGATAAGATCTTTCCTTACAAGTTAAACATTCAAAGGAGGGATGGCTACTAAATGTTCAACAAGAAACTATAAGGAAGTAATTCTTCTGCCCATTGATGACTTTCTGGCATTTTTTATAAATGTTCCAGCTAACAGAAATGATCATGCTGACACAGTATTCCAACAGTTCTGTCTGCAATAATTGTTAATAAGCTCAGTTTACCTACAGAATACAATATAAGTCAATACCAGTATCTTAGGCAGGCAAGGCTGACAGAGCTCTAATGCTTTTCTACCAGACCATCTAATATAAAAACAAATCAGTCTTCAAAAAAACAGATGCTTTTTCACGCTCATACTACTTCTACTGCCACCACACTGCAGATCTTGAATGTGCAGTGTAGATCAATAAAAAACAGAGCAAAGGCAAAAATGAATGACCCACGTTAAGAAGTGGCACCTGCTTGCAGTACCAGCAGTAATTCCAAGGAGAGATTGCCAAGTGTCTCTGAGCTTCTGTCTCTGGAGCRCAAGGGAATTTGGTGCATGCCAAATTGGTCCATGCAGACATAACACTATAATAACATTTCCTACTGAATTAAGCACATGTCAAGTGCATGCTCAGTATGAGTTTTTGTAATTTTGCACTGCTGTAGAAAGGACATATATTTTATTTATATGTTCCCAACCTAAGGACAAGAGACAATTGAACTTTGGCATATGTAGAGAGCACAGCTAAAAATGGTGAATACCTTCCCCTATTACCTCTCAACCCCTGTCCCATCCCCACCCTCCTGGCAACTTGCAGCTTTCCTCTCAGTCTCCTTGACTCCACATGCTCAGTGCAACTGAATAACAACTGGAAAGAGCATCTGAAAAATACTCTTTAGGCTAACAGAGCATTAAGGGCACAGACCTGGGCCAGTTTACTGAAGAGGTAGCTAGCCCACAGTTGTACAACCACAAACAAATCTGCATTCTGGCCCAGGGACCAGAAACTGTTTCTCAGGCTCTCATGAGTGCCAGTCTGTCTTTGGTTTTTATTATTGAGCAGAGGCAGATGTGACTAAGACTTGGTTGTACCTAAGCCATAACTAAACCCCACTGGGATGTGTAAAGTATGTTTTTCCCAACCTCTCTTGTCTGGACAAGCTGAAAAAATGAGCATTTTCTGAGTCTTTCTACCACCATTTAGAATAGAGGGAATTTGTGTACCCAGAGTTAGGTTAGAGTCCTTATCTATGGTGTGTGGTGTGCTGGATTCAGCCCTCTTTGCTGCCTAAAAGCAGCTCTGCCCCTTTCTTCCACTTTGTAGGATAGCACCCAAAACCATGATTCAGAGTCACTCTGGGGCCTCTCTGTGTCTTATGATCCAGGCTTTATGCAAAGTGAGCTAGCTGGACTTCTTGTTGTTGGAGGTCAGGGTACCTGCCTGGAGAAGAGCCRAGATCCAGTAGGAAGACAGAGCTTTTGTCCCAATTTCTGCACTCCAGTTGTGCAGGTCGTGAGGAGCTGACAGGCTGTGCATCTGTGCAAGGGTGAATGAGAAAACTCTTAAGTGGTGCATTACAAGTATTGATGTGCAGTTAAAATCACAACCTGCAAGGACTTTCCAGGCTTCCAAGGATAGACAATCATTGCTGCCATACTCCCCACCAAAGGACATGGGAAAAGAAGGTGTGAGGAAAGAGCTGCACCACGCAGATGATGTTTTTTACCTTAACTCACGAGAGATATCAAGGAGCAGGAAGTATTTTCACCCTGGGATGTAAAGTTAGGCTGAATAATTATAGAATCACAGAATCAAAGAATCAGGTTGGAAAAGACCTTGGAGAGGATCAGTCCAACCAATAATCATAACCTATGATCATAACTACGTCAAACTCAGTCCTGTGATTCAGGACAGCACTTGTGCTGGAACACACTAAAAACATAATCTCTGCCATGTGCCCGGACAGCCTGACCAGGGCTGCTATGGACTTTGCAGACTTTCTGATAATTATTGAAACACAATTTAAAGTTGACAACGTGTCTAAAAACACACGCAATGTCAGAGGAGGAATGAAATGTTGCTTCCCCCTCTCTCCCCCAATCTCATTACAGGCTAAGGAAAAATAATATATGGAGAATAATACTTCACCATCTAAAGAGTTTTTCTGGTTTCTAAATCTAGTGAAGAGTCATTGTATATTTTGACAGAAAAATGGATCAAAATAATAAAGTGAATACAAAATTATATTGCTGTCAATAATTTAATTTACACAAAATAGCACTGTGACATGGTAATTGTTATATATGATGCAGCATTCAGTATAATATTTGGAGAATGCATTATAGAAAGTCAACATTTAACTACTAAAATCAACTTACATAATCAAAGCTGTCAGAGAATCTTTACAGTTTTATATTAATTTGAATGTAATTTACTATAGAGGTGTCATTCTTAGAGGTGCTTACAGTAGTTAATGATCTCTGCATTTCCATTATAAAATCCTATTTTCAAAGGTTTATAACTTGGTCTTAAGAAMTCTCAGCCCTCCGGCACATTTTCCCTTTCCTTACAAAAACTATGTTAGACAATTTAAACTTTTCTCTCAGAGAAGATAGTGTGGTTGCTTTCCAAATTCATTCTGAGGATTTGCTAATTTGCTGCTTGCCACCCAGGRATCTCAGAAAAAGAAGGGTTCTTCACAGAAACCATTAGAGTTACATTTTCTTCCATTTTCCTGGTTACCCTTCAGACCATTTTTCTTACTGAAGTGTCTAAGTATCTTSCAATATTGCATCCAAACCTTCTCCATCATTCTTTCCCTCTTTCCTGTTTTGCTGTCATTATGCTTTCTTCCAGGTCCTTCTCCTCTCAGATGTTGACTCTCAGCTCTGTTCTGTATCTTCTCACAGATGTCCACGTTTATGCTGGCAGCTGCAACTTCCACCACATCCATCAGTCACTGGGGCACAGTCTCTCAGTTTCACATCTTGTTTTAAGCTGCAACCCTGATTCCCTTTTCCAGCTCACTAGAAGTTCAACAATTAGTTTTGCTCTCCCTAATATTTCAGGCTTGACTCATATCAGACATTAGCCTTCATCCCATCCAGACCTGCTCTGTTGGTCAGTTGGTGGTTTCCACTTTGCCAGCCACAGGAACTGTGCAGCCCTGAGGCATTRAAGCTGTTTCCCCCTGCCCCAGATTTTCTGCCCAGCAGGTAGGACACTGCAAAGCAATTGTCCACAAACACCTTGTACAGGTCACTTGCTAAACCAGAGTCTGAGAGGCAAATTGTCAACACAAAGCTATTACCCACAGTAAAACTAAAACAAATAATTACCTAACATTGCTCTAGTTTATGGGTCTAGTTTCCCCTACTTCTGCTCAAATTGACTTATTTTTCACCCACGTCACCTAGCTGTCACAGATCCCCTAGCTTTGTGTAACCTCTGTAATTAGAACAGACATGTTTGAGCCAACATGCACAACTGCATCCAAAATCCAAATTGGCGTTACCATGTAAATATTTAGATTTACATTAAAGTAGTTCTGTCACTTGTCCAGGATCTCTTTATTTTCCCTACAAGGAGAAGAGGTTTTTTAAGTATTTGAGATGCTCTATTCTAGCTATTCACTCTTTTTATGGCCATTCTTGTCCATTGCCAATACTTACCCAAAACATTTCCTTCCCTTTTCCACTGTCATTTTTCCTGTTTGAAAAAAAAAAATCAATTTATTATTTTCTTCAGTGATATCACAAATAAGATGGGAATCTCCTCTCCCTTACACACACTGAGAACAGGATTTGTAGTATCAGACAAAAAAAATCTGTTGCTTACCTATCACATTACTGGAGGTGGAAAGAGAAACTATTTCACAGACATCATGTTTTGATGATGGACTTGATTCAAAGAAAATGTGCTCATATTTTGACTGAATGGAACTGGTGACTGACTCAGCAAGATAGCTTAACTTTATAACTAGGGCAGCTAACAATGAGAAAGATAACACTGGGAGTATTCAGTTTCATCTTTCAGATTCATAGTTTAGTGATACAAAGAAACTCTAGAAATCACTTTTATGTTTCCCAGTGGATATCCAGCTGGACACAAGCGGAAGGAGTGTCTGAATAAATTCTATTTTATAGAGTCATTTGACACACTTCAGATTTTTATTCTGGTTTTGGATAAACACCTAAAGACTGACTATAGCATGGACTACTGGCTGAAACCTCTGGATGTTATTTCATCATTCTTTGTGTTGAGAGAATAGAACTGGAAGATAAAACTTTAAAACTGTCAGAAAAGTCAGCAGCTGTATGGATCTCTTCTCCCACAGAATGAATGGGACCTGACAAACACAGGCGCTTAGAGGATAATCTTCCAGACTGGATGATAATTTTTCCATTTTCACTGTCCCTCAGAAGAATCTACCAAACAGGTTTATCCCCATTCAGTATTTTCACTCCTTGAATCTCAATGAAGAGGTTTTCCTCTGATGTAGGTAGTGCTGTTACCAAATGCCCGCTCTCCCGAGGTTGACACCCACTTCATTCAAGTATTCCTAGTGCAGCAGGGATGTTAGTGGCTACTGGCTTGCAGCCARCATCCCACACATTTCCTCCACAGCAAAAATGCCTTAATTCTGACCCACTGCCTTTCAAGTAGATAGTGAAAAAAAATCAGTCACAGAGAGCTTTGCTTTTATCTGTACTTCTCCTTCAGAAAGATCTGAAAAAAACATCAGACGCTGTTCTTTTCTTTTTCAAGGCCCTCGGTCAGCAAGGGTGAGCCCTGGTGCTGCTGTTGGAGCTTGAGCTCCAAAAGAAGCTAAAAGCATTCAGACAGGGGTGCTTCTGCTTTTGGGTAAAGGAGTTTTAAGCAGGGTAAGTGTTGAGGGGGTGGAGCAGTGCCTGCGTTGTGCCAGAGGCTGCATGCAGCACCTCTYCTGCTCAGCAGCTCTCCTGAACACTATTCCTTCTGAAACCATCAGCTATTGTAGGAGCTTGTGTCTCTCAGACAGGGCAGTGAAAACAGATCAGAAGGGACAGTGGGTTTTGGCTCCCAGCTGAAGTTTTCCATCCTCAGCAGAGATAGGAAGAGCACTGCTGACCTTACATGAAGCTGCGGGCAGTGTGAGCCCAGCCAGCATCTGAACTGGGCAAGAGGAACTTGGACTCGCTCTCAAACTGGCCTAGCACAGCCACCAGAGTGCCTTTGAGATGTGACCAATTTTGCAACATGCACACATTCTTAGACCCACAAAAGCCAAACACATACATGGGTTTAAAACCAGTGCATGGAAAATTGGTRTAGTGAAACAAACCTGTCCACTTTATCTCCACTGCATGTAATCCTAGGGGAAAACAAGACAACATTAACAGGTCTTAACTTGCTAATCTGGCCAAGCAGAGGTGAGGAGAGGTACAGTGATGTTCACAGGGGAATGTGGAGCCCAAAATTAYGTGAGGAGAACTGGAATCAGAAAAAAGGGAGAAAAAGGTTGGCAAACCATTGAGTTAGTTTCCAATGGTGCTGTCAGGATGTAGGAAAGATAAACTACTCTCCAAGTTGATATTATGTAGTGAGAAATATCTGAGGGAAGACATTAAGAAATAGATGTAAATCAAAAAGGTATCAGGAAAGAAAGCCCCAAAGACATCTACAATCTGGGAAAAACCACCAAGTGGAAGGCAGATACCCAAATCTTGTGATACAGATAGAAAGCTACTCTGCTTCGTTCAGAAGAACAAGAAAATCTGGATGGCTTGAAATAGAAGAGATAATTAAATKAAAAGAAAGGAAGCAATTAAAGAAATCATTAACGCTGACCTTGCATAAATAAAGTTTCAAAGATTGCACACATGCTAATTTGAGAAGCAGGATGGCTAGAAGTATGGAGACAATTAAAAATATTCACTCCTCTATTCCAGGGATAATGATAGAATCTGTATGGAGACTAGAAGTATTTGGTACTGCTCCAGATTATTATGATCTTGGAAAAATAACATGGAAACTGATGTGGCAATATACTGAATTTAAGGAGAATTGCAAAATGTACAGATGAACTCAAGGAACAAAACTAAAACAGTAAAATGAGCATGGTTAAAATACAAGCTGCAGAAAACTGACAGCAGGAATGATTTCAGAAAAAAAAATAGTATAGGTAAATTGGATAAAACAGAGSGAAAGGCTGGCAGCCATCATTGTCATGACACTTGCATTACATCTCACTTCCAAATGCAGAGTCCAATTTGGGAGAAGGCAAGAAGCAGAATATGCTCTTTATAGGGGGGGAAAAAAGGCTTCTTTCTTTTGTAAGTTCCTGTGTCAGTAGCCATTTTATGGGGCTGCCAATCATGGCAAATCAACTGAAAAGCCAGATCATTTTCTAAAGCATCTACCTTCCTAGAGAAAGATTTTCAAGTTGACTGTGTACAATCCAGCTGCTGCTTTTAATCTTTCCCTGACAACAGTAGTTGTTTTATTACTTTGACAGTCATTTTTTAGCCCATGAATGGTACCACAGTCCTTGTAAATAGGAAAACTCTTTTGATCTACAATTTCATAAGGTTTAGCAATGGACAAAAGATTTTTCCGGTATACTTGATCACACACTTGCTGAAGTTTAGGCCTAGAGCCAATAAAAAAGCACTGAGCTACAATTTTKGAGGTACACAAAAATCCTTTTTGATGAGTAATGACTGCCAGAAAAAGAAACTTATTATAAAATACTGCCTATTAATAGAAAATTAAAAGCCATGTTATTCCTGAAATAATTTTGTTACATTGCCACAATGATTTTGTCAYACTGTTTTAATATAGTGTGATCTAGAGGATAGAAAATATGGATGCAAATAGGCATAAGTGCAAAAAAGGAAAGTGTTTCAAGCTGTCTGTAATAGCTAAGAGAAACTGGGAGAAAACTCAGACAGAGTAGTTTTCCAGCATAATGACTTATTCTCTGCWCTACAAGTAAGAACTGTGTATTTTRTGCAATCTAAAATAAGGTATAAACTCTAAAATCAAATGTTCTCAAATAAGAACAGAAAGCCATTCAACAACCAGAGTGAAAAATTAGTTGAAAAATAAATATCTGTAATTTTTGTTAGCCCAGGCTGCAGTACTTTGAGCACTTACACATATATTAAACTTCTCACACATGTGCRTTCCCTTTTCTTGTCCTATTCACACTGGAACTCATTCTGCTTTTCCTTACATATGAGGAATTAAAACAGAAAGCCTTTCTGATTTTCAAGTGTAAGGACAGCATTTCCAGGAGAGCTATCAATTTAGCAGCAGTCAGCTGAATATGTAGTTACCTGTGGGGAATATTTAGATAAGGTGCTGAGTTGAAGTCTAATTTCTTTGAATTCTTTCCTTCAAAAATTCTAAGACAATTGGCAAAGCCAATTTCTGTAAAGACATTGCTTTCTAAAAATCCACACCAGGCCCAAAATCTAAAGAGTAAAAAGAAGCAATTCTGTTTTTTGTTGGGTGCAGTTAGAAATCAGTCATCTCAAAACTTAGATTGTACAGAAGAAAATTAAGGAGCATTAAAGGATAAACAGGAGTAACACTTCCACTCCCTGCACTGCTAAATTGCTGACATCTATAATATTTCTTAAGTAAGTATATTTCAGTTGACAAAAACATTAGATTTCACATCTTTTGCTAGTCAGCTTCTGTTAATACTCTCTTGAAATTTCCACACAATTCCGCAAAATCACATTTTCTGGCAAAATACCAGTCTGATTCCTACACTCTAGCATTCAAAACACAAATACTTCACCTCACTGTTTTCAGATAAACCACTTAATTTGGTTTCATTAATTTTTTTTGGACAAAACATTGAGATGCCTCTGTGCAATTATTTAAAAAAAACCAAATGCTCCACAGGCAGCTAAGCTGACCCCAGTGTCACCGACCTCCAGAAATCAGCTCTCAGTGCAAGCAGAGATCTTCACTTCTGTTTCTCTAGTTTGCCAGATCTCCAAATAAAAGGCTAAACACTTATAGTTGTATTTTATCCCCACTGTTTTGGAATAATGCACATCTCTGAGCTTTGCATATACAAGATTTTTCTTTCCATTCTTTCCTCCAGATTAGGGAGACTCAGAGGAAAGGATTTGGCCTCTGTTGTTTGTTAATTATGTTAAGAAGTGCCTACAGGACATCCATCTCTTGCATCAGACCATGTTTGGAATTACAACTTTCTCAGCATTTATTCTCAGTCTTGAGTAACTATTATTCCCAGCCATTATCAGTTCTTGGATTTTCCCTTTGAGACCTCAGTCCATTACAGTGGGAAAGACAGACTTACTGCAGGAAACATGGCCACGTGTTTCTGCATCCTTCCTGCCACATCTTGCAAAATGCTTAAGACATTGTGAAGCAAAAAATGAATGAAAATTTGAAAGCACGAGCAGAGCTGTGTTCTGATAATCCATGGAAAATGCAGAAGTGTAGGTGTCATCTTTAAGTGCTGTGAATGAGCAGAGGACTGGCCCCAAGCCCTCCTGAAGGCAGGAGCAGAGCCTCCCAACAGAGTAAGATGCAGGTGTTGACTGCTCCCAACACAGCAATGCTGGGGAGTTTCTGCTGCCCCAGATCAGATCTAACAAGCAGATCATTCATTGCAAGTGCAAGGCAGCAGCTCTACAAACCTGCAAGAACTTTGTGCAAATGGGACTAGTTAAGGTTCAGGGGGCACAGACTACCCCACCAGAACCATTCTGTTGTGTGTAATCATGTTTATGTAACTGATGATCTACGTCTGCAAAAGCATCAACTTCACAACAGATTATTCATCAAAAGCCTAGCTCCATGCTTTCTGCTTTCCAACACTGACTTTCAGGATATTCCATCTAATAAATCTGAAGTAGATATGAATAAACAAACATGGCATTATGCTAAACTTGTTAATTATGCATCAAGATACATGATGTTATAAGTATACATAAYACTGGGAGCTCATGAAGATAAGTGTGCAAAAAAGGGAAGATTATTATGTACGTGATCAGAAACCCCAATTTGTTTTAGCTTCATTCATTTAGGATGTTTTGACTGAAAAAAGGTACTAATAATTTCCAAGTTGTGACTGACAGATTTAAAATATGACGTCTCCATATGATATTTCAACATTCTGCACATTGTACCTAAGAACAATTGGAGTGAAGTCTTTCTAGTACAGTGTTCTGTCTCTGTTCATTTGTAAAACACAGCTATTCCCTCATCATTCTGTGTGGGAACAGAAAAACACTGAAGAGCTTTTTCCCTTAGAAGAGGAAGAAAGAAAGAAAAAAGAAGTTTCCTTCTCAACAGCAAATAAAGGGCCCAATCTCTTGGCATCAACTCACTGACTCAGATCATCTCCTGGAGAAGGAGACAAATGTTGTCTTTTGAATTATAGTCCCAGTAGAAGCTTTTCTGCATATTGAAGCAAATAAAAAACATAAGGCTCCCATTAGTAGTAAAAGCTTTTCCAGGAGCAGAATAGTGACTGGGGAATCATCTGATTCCTGGACATCCAGCATTTCAGCTATCAGCCCCAAGAGAAAAGGAAGGGAGAGGCCAAGTGCTCTGTCACAAAGCTGTGCTCATAAGGACCCTACTGCAAAACCTTTTCTAGGCACTTGTAGGAGACTATCTGCTTTCATTCAGGCTCTGCACGTTTGTAACTCCTCACCTTTCTCCTTGATGTGAGGGAATCTTCTGCAGCAGGCACATTCCCACACCTCTTTCAGGAAAGAAGGATGCTTGTTTTCTCCTGGCTTCAATGTTTGAAGTATGTGCCAATCTTAAGCACTGCTGTAACAAGGAGTCTATTGCAAAATGCAGCTCAGTGTTCTCCCAGCGTTCAGATAATCTAAGAAAGAAATTGTACTGATGAAAAATTTTAAACAACCAAATAAGGACTTGCATAGAAAACAACATCCTTCTGCCTCAATTTTTTGACATTCTTCCAGCAATCAGTCCTGGAAGGGTATTGCAGCACCATTCCAACATTTGGCATGAGCACTGTCAATTGCCCTTCCTCCCAGTTCCCATCTTCTCCCTCAAGTCAGAAACTGCTTTGTATTACTGGAGACAAGGATGCATCCTCCTCTGGTTAGAGATGCTGTATGTATACAAGGAAAAGGATGAAGAATCAAAAACATGTCTAGCATTTGTATAAATTACACACACACACACACACACACACACACACATATATAATTTGTAGGGATCTAGCATTCTACAAAATTTCTTACATGTAAATAAGAAAGCATTTGGATTGTAGTTTGGGCAGGTGGTTTCTCATGTAAACATATGAGGCTGCATTACAGCTACAAATGTTTCTTTTGAGCACTTAACACTGTAATAGTATGAAAATATCTGTGCAAGCCTTTTGCAGGTGATGTTCTCAAGCCTTGAGTTAGTGTATTAGTGTTGCAAAACCAAATGGACTGAAACCAATGGACTGAGAGTATCACCACTCTTAAACCTCATCTATTTTCTATGAGTAGTCCTGTAAACAGAAAATTATTGTCCCTGACATACTGAGTATCAATATGAAGCAAAACCAAGTGTTCAGAAAATTTTCAGCAAATGAGGTAATATTGTGACACATATTAAGACCTCTCAGAAAGGAGAATATTGGAGAAAATGGCAGAATTTATACTAATCTTGCCCTTTGACACTTCTTGCTGTGAAATTTTGTTTCATAAATATTCCTTGAAAGCAGARGTTTTAAAAAACAACATGACCTGGATCCCAAGTGGTGAGAGGTGAAGTGGGCTATATTTGGTATCACCTTTGCAGAAAGGGAACACCTCAATAAATGYGCTCCATGACAGTTCTGACAGAGGGTTATGTGTCTGCCAGTGCAACCTACATTATTTATGCTAGTCCAAGTCAGAATAAATATTATCTCCACTCATGTGACAGACCTTTGATAAAGCAGAATCAGCCTGGCTGATTAGGAGTATGTGTCAAACACAGATAATGGGGGAATCCCTTTCAGCAGCAGCACAACACCTCAGCAACCATAACAAGGCCAATTTAACAAGCCTTCTGTTTTACCAGAGATATTAATTGCAGTCCTGTCACATAAAGTACAATTCAAGATAAAATACGTAAAAAGGGGGGGAAATTGGATTTCATTCCATTTTTGTCAAGATTATAAATTTTCTTGCAGGACCATGAATCTTACCTGCTGATCTGAATACCCTGGGTGGCTGACACACTATAGTAGAACAATGTGCATTGTTATGAGGTCTGTTGAACACTCAAAGAATGTCAGGTTTTTTGTTGAATCTTTCTACCACTATAGCTTTTATTCTACTCTACGCAGCTTTTGTTTGCTTCTTTACAAAAAATGCAGAAAGCAAGCACCCATTCCGATGTATCCATCAAGAATGCTTCCTCATCTTCACCAGTACTATCAAGATTTTGTAAATCGTTCTGCAAGTGTCCCATTTGATACTTCCTTAGAGACACAACCAGGCTTACAGATAAACACCCATCCAAGGGTTGCACTGGGCTGATGTACAAATCATCATCACAAAAGTAAATCAGAATTCCCAGTTCAGGGTTTCAATAGTTGTATCTCCATTCAATTACCTGCCATAATGGAATAGATGGTCTCTGTTTGTGCATTTTATAAACGTTGTATTGCCAAAGCATGTGCTCTCAGRCCAGGCTCCTTTGGTCAAGGTGAACCTGCCAGATGCTGGATGCTGCTGCCTCCTCACCAGTCAGAGCAGCTGCAGGCTGACCCCTGGATGTGGCACACGCTGGACAGTGGGTGCTGCCTGCATGTGCATTGTGGCACTCAACATCTCAGCCACCAAGCTGCCACTCTTTTTGTACTGAGGACTTTCCATTAAAATGAATTCTAACAAATGCCCTGTCACTTCCATGGGTACAATGTGCTTCTGAACCAGATTTAGGGTGTCTTCTAACAGTGAATACCTCTGTGATGAACTACTGGTTGCAAAGTTCTAACTGTGATATAGTCAACCCTAAGTATTCCCAAATTAAATCAAAATGRGAGAAAGTCAGAGAAATTTAGTCCTTACCCCGAATCCCAGCATCAGGCGAGAACAGTTTAGTTTGTTTAAAGATACTGCAACAGCACCTTTGCAGAGAAATTCGTTGCTAAAGAGCTGAACCTTAAAGCTGTTCATAACCCTAAACCTCTTGTCCTGGCAATGCCAGAACTCCAAAACCAMAACATGTATCACCTGTAAATACACAGTTGGACATGAAAAGGTTAGTTTTCTTCTCTGAGAAAGAAATAAGTGGGGGGAAAAAAGCAAAGATGGGCTACTTTTTTTATAAAATATGTTAATAGTATTATTTATTTTTTTCAACACAGAACAAGGATGCCCAGAAAGACAGACTTTTGGGAATATTTAGCATTTATATACATATTTACATGCTAATCCGAGAAATTATCTCAGACTGTTTAGAACATGATACAAACACAGTCTAAAGCTGCTTGCTTGTGAAGTTCAGGAAAGCCCAGGTTCACCGAGAGAGTGGTTACCTTAAGGGACTTTGGGTGACATGTCAGGCAGCTTWTAAGAAAACTCCTTTCAGACATTAGTGCTGGCAATAAAGTTCCGCATTTTCTACACAAAGCCTACATATTCAGGAAACACGGAACTGAAATTCAGCCAGCCACACACATCCCCCAGAACTGAAAGCATGGTCTGTCAGCCAAATGACACAAAACATTGAAACACAAGTTTTAAAGTCTGGTCTTACTCAGCAAAAGATCTGCATGCTTTTGGACACATCTACAAGTGACAGCACTTCCTAAATCCCATCCTCAAGAAGTGATGCCACATTTGGCCTAAAGAGGCAAGTATGTACTAACCTGGATTCTCAGAAGTATCTCGGAGTTCCAATTCAGACTTTAGAAGTCCCAGGCAGAATTGATCTGCATTTCAGGAACCTCAGTAACTTTACAAATCCTGTCCAAAGGGTTTAATTTGCTTCTGAAAAGAGGTGCTTTAAAGATGATAAATTTATCATAGATATAATAGAACCTATTATTATATAGACAAAATCCAGTGCCTGTTGGGCCAGAAAGCAAGTCTAACTCTAGAATGAGCAGCTCTTTGCTGCTGGTGTGGAGATGCTGAGATCATTCCGGGCGACCCTGTGCAAATATAGAAGGACCAAGGGGGGTTTTGTAGGCAGTATTTTCTGATTGTAAGAAAGAAACCCAAAATACACAGATGTGAGAACATTAACTGGTAAAATTACTGAATAATAATCATGATTTGGGGGGGGGGGGGGGGGGGGGGGGGGTTGCTGGTTTTTAAGATTTTCATTAATAACATTGATATAGTAGGACAATGCAATRTATCATTTCAKACTATGCACCCTGAAATATCCTGAGATTATTCAGTTCATTTTTCTGAAAACTACCATGTATATATAAACTGCTTAATTAAATACAGGAAGTTCTCTTCTAGCAACCCCCTTCCACATTCTGAACATGAAAGAGTACACTAGAATATTGATAGCCCATGCAATATTTTAGTGTTGGAAAACATTAGTTTTCAGTAACTACGRGGACTCATCAAGCAAAATWWAAAAAAAAAAATAGAARAATGAATATATGAACTRATTTTGATTCGCTTTTTTACTGTCACATCGTGAGCAAATGAGACCCTCACATRTGTGAAAGCAGCATTTGCTCTTTCTTGCAGGGAGATCACTTGCCCCCCGGGCTGGGATGGGCTCTGTTCTGTGGCCTTTGTGCAGCCGCCCCCGCTGCCCCACAGTTAACACGTTCTGAAGACCCTCCTTTGTCTCCGCGCTTCTGGTCACATACTAGCAACGGGCTCTGCTACACTGGAATTAATTAAACAAACTGCTCCGAGCTTTAATCTTTCACATAGAAGCCAGTGCAACAGAAAGTAGCAGTATCTCACGAGTATCTCACGAGTGCCATATTTGTACACATCCAGCAGAAGAAATCCATGTGTGACACACTGCCTTCATTGTAATTTACATGCCAATTGATATTTTCACCCTGTTCTATGAGAGCTGCTTCCTAAAACAACCAACCATGAGCAAATAATAGCAAGGAAAGATCAGTCCTCACAKACTGAATTTCAATGATCATGATAAAACCTGCAAGTATCCAGGAAGGAAGTCTCTCAGTATATAAGAAATCTAAATCTCCAAATCTCCAACACAGACCTGCCAGACAAACATCTAGACTGCACCAGATCGGGGTTAAAATGCCACAAAGTAGTGCTCCTCCACTCCACAGCCGGGGCAAGGAACATGAGATGGTGCCAGACGAATCCTAGCATTTTCTATGGGTTTTCCAGGAGATCTGAAACCCCTCAGATGAGCACATTAAGTGACATCCTCTTGCCCCTTCAGCTTGCTCTCCCTGGACGGCACCAGCTCTTTGGGACTCTACAAACAGCAAAAACTCTAGAAGCACCTGATGTAAGGTGGCAGGTGCAACAAATGACATGAAGTTATAGGCTTAAACATTCCAGCCTTGTAGCAAACATCTCTAACTCTTAGTTCAGGCCAATCCCTTCCTAAAGTAAGAGATTAGTGTTCAGGTCAGCAGTGAAGAACAGCTCCAGTACCCTGAGGTATGAGATTTTACATGAGTTGTGTTATTAGTGAGTCTCCTCTCAGCTACAGTTAAGAAAGTTGCTTGCTATTAGCAGGGAAATTAGAATACTTTAGGCCCACTAAGTATTTTAAATGCAGCTACTTCAAAAAGACAAGCTACAACCAAAGTTTTCAGCAGTGGCTTTCAGAACCCCACCCTCAGCAAAGCAGAAAGAAAGGAAATGGGAGCTCAGCATTTCTCACAAAATAGGGCTGTGCAAAACCCCCAGGCCAAAAATACTCTTCAGAGTTCCTCAGAGAACATAAAAGATCAAAACTTCAACCTCAGCCCTGTGTATCTGAATTGCTAATAGATGCTCAATACAGGCTCCATCTGCAGCATCACACAATGAGGATTAGAGGTAATCATGTTTTTAAGGAAAGGGAGTGTTACATTGCCAGAAACATCTTCAAAACTCAAACTCAGAATTGTGATGTAGCATTTTCTGTCATGTGCTGAACAGGGTTTTTCAATCACCAGTTTATGAACAGCTGCACCAATACTGCACTCTTCTTATGTGCTAAACAACACTGGGACATTGCAAAACTACAAAGGCTTGTCCTGTCCATTTAACCAGCGTGTCACATGGAGACAAAGCATAATGCAGCCCTGTGAAAAGTCCACCCACAAACTTCATTTCAAACTATAGAATGAGGCACTTGAGTTCTCTGTCTTCCTTCTTTCACATGAGTTCACATGACAGCAACTTAAATATTTTGGAGACTCAAGAATATAGCCTTTCCAAAAGTTACCTGCTTAAAAAAGTAGGAATAAAAGACATTTTGATAGCTACCTTGCTATTTATTTCTTGCTCAAAACCTTTGTATTCAGTTTGTTTTAAAATGTAAATCAGGTGTGAACAGTAAAATAGAGTAATTGTCATTGAAGAGAAAAGCCATATAATCTTATTAAAACCTAACACTACAGATTTCAAATCCACAACACTTTGAAATGAATTAAAATGCTATCACTAGAAATATAATTTTTTTCATTAACAAAACATAGTGCCTTAAATTGCAAGATAAAGTTTTAAAAACACTGCAGTATTTGCTATCAAACAGGATATATTTATTTTATTAATTAAATTGTTAGCAAAACAACCATTATACTGACACAGCAGTACCAAAATGGACCACCCCCCTTCCTGTATTCATACTCATGCACACATACAAACACACACTCCTTTTACTCAAAGCTGGCAGAACAGCCCCACAGCTCCAAAGGGAGGGGCCAACGGAGCAACAACCCCAAATATCAACTGGCAGAAAAAGGCATTCCTCAGAAAAGCTATATTTGGWAGACTGTCATTGTGTTTATATGCTGTGTTCATGGAACTACACAAACACATAATAAAAAGAAATTAAAAGGAAGGGATAGTATAGAAGATTTAAAGCTAGTATTTTAGAATTCCATTGTCCCTAAGGACAGATGTAGGAAATAGTGAAGACTTTAGTAAAGAAATCAAATATTCCTKGGAGAAGTTCTTTATATGAACAATTGAATTGTTCATATTTGGCTTTATACACATTTTATAAGCCCCAAAATAACCCTTTTAAGTATTTAATTTCATAACTAACTAATTCTTTGCAGTGGGAAACTACAATGAACTTGGAACCATTTTCTTAAATGAAGAGACAACTGCTAGTTCAGGTTTCCCAACACTACTCAGCTTTTCTGAAGATTCACTGAAGAGACTCAGTGAAGTAAACCACCAGCATTTACCTTGAAAAAATGGAAAATATCCTTCTTTCAGGCAAAGGGCAGCCAACAGATTTATGGCAATACCGTCGATTAGTCAGGTCCTGTAACACACACCTGCAATAAACTCAGAGCAGGATGAGTCCAAGAACACAGGATAGGTGCTTTTGCCTAAATGCACTTCTTCTGGATATTACTTTAACAACAGTTACAYCCAGAAACCTCTTTAGCTATGCACAATCAGCACAAAACATGGTGTTTCCAGTAACAGCATGAAGAATACTGACATCAGCCAGCAGTCCTGCTAAGTCACCTGTACCGATGCTAATGGCTCTGCTTCAGACACATAACCACAGGCACTGCTCCTTTGATTTTACAAGGGTATTTGCCAGGTGAAGAACAGCAGAAGTCAACAGACATGTCAACCATCATAGCCAGGAGAAAGAACACATTTAAATGTCACGATGAAACCAGGCCTTCATGATCCATCTAGATGACATACAGGTGACCAAAATGAAGTTATGGTAACAAATGTTGCACAGATTCACCTGGAGGAGAGTATGGCCCTCAGAGCCAGCTGAAAGCTGCAAAGAGCCAGATGGGAGCTCCTCCAGACAGTGTAATCACACTCTCAAGAAAAAAAAAAAACAACCAACTTTGAAGTTACCAGGTGCAGCTTAAGCAGCTTCCTCAGCTGAAGTCATTGAACAAAACTTCAGGAATGAATAACAGCTGACCTAGGTGCTTCTGAAAAATTAAGCTACAATACTGTGATGGGAGAAGGACAAGTGACAGTTCTTTTGCCTTCTTAGGAATTCTATAAAAAATCAATTAATTYATCACGACTGAGCTGTTTTCCTTATGACTACATGACCCATACAATTCAAGGAGGGAAAGTGTTTCTCTGCAATCAGACTGTTGAGAAACTACACTGCAAATAAGAACTCTCTCTTTTCATTGCAATGGGCCTTGGCATTGACTTTGTCATGTTATTTTGCCAAATTTGATCCCAGTATCTGCTTGAATTGAAGCAGCAAAGACACA